ACCTCAAACTCTTGGGCTTAAGTGATTCTCTTGCTTCAGCCTCCCAAGTAGGTGGGACTACGGGTGTCCACCACAACGCCTGGCTATTTTTTCGTTGCAGTTCTCACTGCTATTTAACAGGCCCAGGCCAGGCTCGAACCTGCCAGCCTCAGTGTATGTGGTCAGTGCCCTACTCACTGAGCTGTGGGTGCCTAGCCACCTCCCTGATTTTTTTAAGAATTCTTCCTGGAGTCTATTTTATCAGTTGAAGAGTGGCATGGGTTACACGGCTTTGTGGTTAACCTCATAGACTTTGGGGTTGAGCTTAGATTCAGATCTCATTCCTACTGTTTAATAGCTATGTAACTTTAAGCAAGTATTTATTTAGTCTCTCTGACCTTCATTTTCTCCTCCATAAAATAAAAACAGTATTTATTACATAGGATGTCACATTGAGGATGTAATGAGATTATGTATGTATCTAACAAGTACTCCCAGAATGGTAGCTATTATTGTTTGAGTTGGGCTGGCGCAGCTGTAAGTAAACACTACTGTGTCTGGATGTCCTGTCCTAGGGATCCCTGATCCCTCTCCCTGCCAGCCTCACTGTCACATGCACTCTTCAGTCTTACCTGTATATACCTCTTGTGCTGAGATAACTGATGTGTTTAATAACGAGCCAGTGACCCTGCAAGAGCATAAGTTATTAAGAAAAAAGTTAAATTCTGTTTCAGTAGAAATTTATTTATTCTACAATGAATAACGTTCGTCTTCTCCAAAATGCAAGCTCCTGTGTCAGTTGTGGTGATTATTTTACAGGCAGAATACAACATTGCCCAGCCCTTTCCATTCCCATACACTGTGGGCAGTCTGTCCCCAGGACACAGGTGCTGCCCTGAGTAACCCAATTCCACGTTCTTAGGCTGCCCCTGCTTAAGCAGCTCCTTACTGAGCTCCAGACTTTGCTTTTACCACCCCAAGGCCGAGGCCTGCAAGTCTATCGAGTACGCAATGAAGAAGTGTCCAAACGGCATGTTCTCTGAGATCAAGTACGATGGTGAGCGAGTCCAGGTGCATAAGAATGGGGATCACTTCAGTTACTTCAGCCGCAGTCTCAAGCCTGTCCTGCCCCACAAGGTATTTGTCTTTCCTCTTTCTGCCTCTAAGAATCTCAGGGCCAGAGTCCCATAGCCATTCCACCTGTAGTATACAACAGAGGTTTGCTATTTGTTTTTTTCTTTTCTTAACTCCAAGAGGATAGGATTTATTTTTTATTTGTTGAATGAATGAATTCCAATAATGAAGCACTGCTCAGCAGGAATAACCAAAGAATCCAGACTTAGGTTAGTGTCAGGACAGAGCTCCCTGGGACAGTGATACTTCCTCCCCAGAGTAATACTGGGCTGTGAATTCAGTGGGTCCATTACTTTTGCATTTCCATGTCCTGAGCACTCCCCGTAAGCTATACTAAGGCTCACGTACAGGGGCTGGTGGGCTATCATTCTTTAATCTGTAAACAAATGTTTATCAAATACTTATGCACTATTGCAGTTAGTGGGCATACAGCAATGAAAAAAATGGGCAGAAGTTGACTTCCTAACGTTTATGTTCTGATGTAAACAATCCTGTGGGACATTTGGGAGCCTACATTCCTGCCCTAGTCAGCAGGGGTATTGAGAACTCATTCCTCAGCCCTTCTCAGTTCCTAGGGATACTGTGAGCCCTTGGGGTGTCTTCAGTGAGAAGCAACAGAAACATCAAGCTCCAATAAGCTTGTAAGGAGATGGGATGCCTGTCTCTACTATCCTTTCTTTCCTAGTACAGACTCAGTTTGTCAGAAGGATGTGTTATGTGGTCCACATGCTTACCTTAACCTTGCCTTCCTGTGGGAACACTGAAGACAAAGCAGCCAGGCAATTTCTGTTAGGTGTTCAAGAGGAGAGCTAAGCAGTGGCCTCTGCGTGGAGCTTTAGTGCACGTTCACTTGCTCTGTGGAGCACT